TTTAACCCCTGCACCACCAGGGAGACCCTATTGTAGATTTTTTTGTAAGTATATCTTTAATTTTTTTTTATACAACCAGGCTTATTCAATATATTTCAAAAATCTGTCTCTTCAGTCCATTATGTATCCATAGCATAGTTGATATAAAAAACATAGGATTCTGAACATTTAAAAAGATAGATGACTTCCAAGTGACAAAACCAATCTTCTAGAGGTATAATCTCATGGTTACTAACCTAGCAATTGTTCCCTAAAGGGCTATAGGTTAGGAACTGAGGAAAGCTTCTTCCTGCTTTCTTCTGCTTTGGTATTGCTTTTTGCCTGAAATAATTTGTGTGTAACTTGGTGCTTGTGCAACATTACTACTTATCTATTTTAGACAAGTATAGACATGGCTTTGTTCTATCTGGAAGACAATGGATAATAGAACTCTCTAGTAGAAATATATAGAACAATTGTGGTTGTGTAACCAATTGTGATTGTGTTCCTTTTTTTCTCTATTAGGGATTTAATACAGATCATGCTAGGACTCAGGTTCAATAAATTGGGGTTATCCAGCCTGCTGTTCCCATACTACATGTAGTTTTATTTGTATAGTTTGTGATTCTTTAAATGCTCTAATTTTGGCCTTTGTGGCATATTATCTGCAGTTCTTTGTTTAACAAGGATGTAACAATGTGAGTGTCCCAGAAAATAAATTATTATTAAAATACTAGAATAAAATCTTTAAAAAAATAATAAAATACTAGAAAACAAAAAAGAAAGGGTAGTCATAGTATTGTGTTTATTAATATGTCTTTTGGTTCACAAAATAATGATTTGTGCTAATCTTTAGTTCCAGAAAGCTGACTCTGATCTGGATTACATTCAGTACAGGCTGGAATACGAAATCAAGAGTAATCATCCTGATTCAGCAGGCAAGGTAATAAAATAAATTTTTTAAACAGAATATATTAAGAGATTTTTCTGATACTACTTTAGTAGTAGACTATAACAATTATTAAGTGCTAAATGTATAGTACCTTAAGGTCTTTTTGTGTTAGAAATTTGGTCACAACATATTAAAGAGATGTAGTGATAATAAGGGAAACTTACGACTTTATTTTTGAACTCTCAAATAAGAATTACTGA